TTCTCTGTCCCCTGCCTGGCTGCTGCGTCACCTCATGGCAGGAGAGACCGCCTCCTTCCCCGTCCTAACTTATATAGCCCCTGTGACCTCATTCGCCTGGGCCAGCAGAGGTCAGCCCCAGTTGGCTGTCAGCCAACCAATTTGAAATGCATCACCTGTTACCGGGCAGATTCCAGCTCCCCAGGTAGATGCCCCTCACCCAGGTACCAGTCACGTAAGCAGACGGAACAGGTTTCCCCCCTCCCTCAGGAATGCAGCCAGCTCCAGTTCCCTAAAGAGACAGGCTGAGGGTGTGGTCCCCTGTGTGCTGGGCCCATCCTAATTGAATGGTCACAGCACAGAGATTTAAATCACAGTGTCACCGGGCAGAGAGTTTTGGGGAGAAACAAAGGTGGCTTTTTGCCACAGGCTTCAATTACTTAAGTGGGCCAGAATTGTACCCATATACTTTAACTCTCTGGATTGCAAGTAGAGGGAAGGGAGCAATGTTTCTTTTGAATAAGATTTATGTCTAAAGCATTTATTTTAAAGTTGTTAATAAGAACAGCCATTCTACTTTTTTATTTGTACTAAGTTACTGATATGGCATTTTCCATGGGCATCAAAGCAATCTGCAGAATAATAAACTAACAAAGGGATTTACTCACTCCCCCCCAAATGCTTTTGAGGCATAAAGCTGCTGATTTTAGAAAACAAACAGTAACACTATACAGTAGTTTAACTCTGCAACAGGAGAGTTGGACTGTAATAAAAAAAGACACATTACCTCCACTTTCCCTGAACCATCATCTACCATATTGTGTTGTGCAGCCATTTGTGGAGATTCATGCAACTTGGTAGCATCAAATTCAATCTGTTTAATTCTAGCCACTCTCTCAGTGACATACACTTTCCCAAAGCCAACACTTTGATCTTTATCCTTCCAGTCTCTGAAGAACTGTTTGAAGATTGGAGTTTCACCTCCTTCTGGAAGAACTTGAATCTGAAGTTAAAGAAAAGGGATGAGGGAAGAAAGTCACTATTTTACTAATACAACTGCTTTCAAATTGTGCAGCATAGAGTGAAGCGGAATATTTTTGATAGGTAATTGCTTTACTATTGCTGGTTTTGAGAGCCTCTCAAATGAGATGCGACTACTGTGTTCCATGCTCATTTCACCTCTAAGTTAGATTATATTACCTATATCTGGAGGTAGACAGAATGGTGGCAGAAATTAAAAGTAGCACCAATCAATACATCTGTTAACCAAGATCAAGAACTGAATGATATCAGGTCTTAGCACTGAATATTGGCTACCTATTTACCTCCAAATCTAACTGAAACCCTCACTTGTAATTTATAAGGTTCTAAATAAATACAGCCCTAAGTTATTTCAGAGTCTTCCTTTTCACTATAAAAAATCATGAAAGCAGCTACAATATACAGTGGACACAAGGGTTGTTGACCTGGTAAGATCCTGGAAAAGAGAGATCTTAGCAATGGGCCTTCAACCATGGAGCAAGCTCCTATCAGAGATTAGGTTGGCTTCTTTGAATTCTGATGCACACCCTACTTCCTCGCAAAGGAGTTCCTTAGGAAGGAATGGGCCACATCACATCACTTGGAGTCTGACACCTGAGACAAGAAGCTTAGGCTAGAGTAGAGTGTGGAGGGGGTGTTCCATGTATTACATGATTTTTTTTTATTTTGTTAATAAAATATGAGATATAGAATTGAAGCCAGATACTGAGTGTGTCTACACATGCCCCCATGGTGCAGCTGTTGCTGCACTATCATATATTACTTCCTTTAGGAAGTACTAAATGATGGTGCAGTAACAACTGTTACTGCACCATCCTGGCAGCGCAGTTATTTTTAGCCACTATGTCGCTGTAGCGATTCACTACAGCAAGGAGCTCATTTCTATGTCGCTGTAGTGTTGTCATCACGGTTTGTGCCCGCTGATGCTATATCACCATAGCACATAGCTATGGTGATATAGCATCTCATGTAGACATGTCCAGTGTGTGGGAAAGATTGAACAAACTGCCTTACTTTAAATGAGGAATAACAAATGTATATGACTCACCAATTTAAGTAGCTGAACTTGTGCAAATGTCTCCAGCCTTTTGGATAACTGTGGGTGCGTCTACATGTGTGCTTCAATGAGCATTAGCCTATTTTAATGCACATTAAAGCATCACTAAAAAACCATGTGCTTTCCCTAATGTGCCCTAAAATAGGCTAATGTGCCCTTTTCTAGTATGTCACAATGGAAGTACTAAATGTAATATACAATAGCAAAAGCACATCAATGAATGTGTAGATGTACCCTGTGAGAGCCAACACTGGAACATCCTGCATCAGTGCTGCTAGGTATATGTTTTAAATGATTTTGATCTATAAATTGAACAAATCTACTGGCCAAATTAATTACTAGACAATGTACATATGTAATAATTCATCAGTATTGAAAAGAATCTTTCAGTCTCTCATTGTATTATCTCACAAACATCTCGTACCTGAGTGTTGGCAGGGTAATTCATTTGCTGTATAAATTCTTCAGCAGTCTTCATGGCTGTCCTTCTCTCTTGTGGGTTAGCAACTTTGCCTGATTAAAATACATGGACAAGATGACAGAGGGAACCCTACTCTTACCTCAGGCTTATACAATTATAAAACTAAAAACTAAAAGTAGAACTAGTAAAAAACAAATCAAAACAAAAAACAAACAAACAAAAAAAGAAAAACCAAACACACTCTTACCAAGTAAAACTGCCTATATTTCTTGTATTGGTTTAGAAAGCAAATGCAAAATTACTTGATCACTTGCTTATTTGTTTGCACTGATATTTGGCCATGTCATCCACTACCACTGTTCTCTATCCATTGCTTCTTGTTCAGCCAAAGGTTTTTAATACCCCTGAAACACTCTGTGGGATTGTACTGTAGACTGGTTCTGTTCTGCACCATGCCACTACTTACCCCAAAGGCCACATCTGAATTTCCTAAGCCATTCTGCTGGAGCCTCAGTACAAGAAAGCAGCCTAAGACAACAGACTTGGTGACTAATAACGGTTATAGTTTATATTGGTAGCACAAGATGGCAAAGTGAGGATGCAAGGAACAGTATGTCATGGGCAGACATACAGCCCTCCTAAACATTTCTCTGCTTGAATGATACTTATGCATTCTGCAGATGATTTTTTTTTTCTGTCATCAAGTTTGAAATACTTCCCGGATTGACTCCAGAAGATTGACAACTGACTTGATGTGAGATTTGCTACCGCACATAGTAAAATGAAATGCAAGTGCCACAATTAATTTGTTGAGAATTATGTCTTAGTCAGAAAACAGAGAACATTACTCATTAGCTCTAGCTGGAGCTCTAGCTAGCTGTGAGATATTCTGATATTCTTGACTTTTCAGCAGCATGCTATTACAAGGAAAATGTGCTGTCATCAAAGTTCCACTGTTGCAAGCTCTGAAGTTGGCACAGAAGAATGTTTATAAGGGGAAGGAAAAAAAAGGGAATGTTAAAATAATGATAAACCTTAGTTTTTAAGTGATTCTCAATATACTACCTTGAGCATGGTTTGCACTCTACATTTGGGTCTGAAGTTTTAGCAGTACTGCATATGTGAATACAGTATATATTCAGAATTAAACATCCGGTCTCTGGATTTTGCCTCTGGTTGTAATGATTTGATAAATGAGCCTCTTCCAAGTTCTTTATACTTTTTCATAACTGCTTTATAGAACTTAAGCTTTGAGCTAATACATGCTATGATATACAAGCAGAATATCCCCACGATATACCCATGAACCAGTCCTTGAAATCCTTTACTCATCTGAGCAGTTTTTTTATCTACTGCTGAACCCAAGGAAACATTTCATGTGAGAAGGGATTTAAAGGATATTGTGCATGGACTGTTATTCTCCCATGTGTTTGATGTGTGTTATGTGGCCTTCCCAAGTCCTGGCAGTATAGGATTATGCATCAACTTCCCAAATACCTGAGAAGGAAAGTCATCTCTTACCTTTCCACACAAAGATCTTTCTTGCTGCACCCTGGTCCAAAATGAAACACTCTTCAGACAAAAGCATAGCCCTAGAGAATGGGTTTTCCTCTGCAACCACTGACACCTTCATGGACCCGCTTGCATCTGATACCTGATAATGCAGTAATTTCACATTCAAGCAACTGAACCTTTTACTCTCAAATTCATAGATTTTCATATATTTATAGATGCTAGGGGCTGGAAGGGACCTCACGAGATCATCAGGTCCAGCCCCTGAACTTGGACATGAAAGCAAGGTGTGCATCAAGTCACTTTTAAAGATTTCCAAGGTAGGTGATTGTACCACCTCTGGGGGAAGTCTGATCCAGACCCTAGGCACTCGAATCATGAAGAAGTTTCTCCTTATGTCCAATCCAAAGCGATCTTCAAGCAGTTTGTGTTCATTGTTTCTCATCTTCCCCTGGGGTGCCTTGGTGAACAGATGCTCCCCGAGACCCTGATGTATGCCCCTTATATACTTACAGGCTGCCACCAAGTCTCCTCTAAGTTCTTTTCTCCAGGCTGAACACTAACATGACTTTCAGCCTCTCCTCCTCGGTCTTGCTTGAGATGCATCGGTAGATGCATGCCAATGTTTTATTGGCTTTTCCAGCTATCTCATTGGTGTCTCATGTTCATTCTGTGGTGAATCACAACCCCAAGGTCTCTTTCAGTTGCCGTGCTGGCAAGTGTAGCACAGCCAAGCCTGTGTGTTGTGAACTATTTCTCCCCAGATGGAGCACTTTTCATTTCTCCATGTTAAAGATAAGCAGGTTTTGATTCTCCCACTTTGCAAGTCTGTCCAGGTCAGCCTGTATCCCCAACCTGTCCTCAAACATGACTGCACCCCCCATAATTTGGTGTCGTCGGCGAACTTTTCCAGAACACTTTTAACACTTGAATCCAAATAATTGATGAACATGTACAAAAGCACCGGTCTGAGTACTGAACACTGAGGGCCACCACTGCTCACCTTCTGCCATGTTGACTCAGTGCCATCCATTAATACTCTCTGAGTCCTATCTCGGAGCCAGTTACTAGCCACTGGATTGTAAAGTAGTTGAGGCCGCATTTTCCCAATTTTAAGTCAAAGGCCTTTCTGAAATCCAAGTATATGATACCAACCTTGTGAATTCTTTCTTTTAGAAATGACTTGATAAAATCTGTGAGTGACTGAAAAGTAGCAACAGCTAAAGGGATTTTTAAAAGTTTGATTCTTTTCACTTTACAGACAACAGAGGGAGCTATGTTATTACTTTTCTGTTGGTTTCCTTTCTTACAGATAATTTAATAAATCCTTTTTTCTCCACCTGCTAGTTAAATGTTTTGTTCTATGAATGATTCACAGTTAAAAACTAAGTTCTTCCATGCACCCTATAGGCCCTACTGAATTGCTGAGACTCTTGGGCCTCATCATCTCACAAGCAATTCCTCCTGTAGCCAAAGGCTCATCATGTCCTGAACTACAGCTTTTGAGCTAACTATAAATGTGTCCAACCCTAAGATTCATGAATAAAATACCTTTACTCATAAACTACTCTCACGTCATAAGAAATAATTACATTAGATCTGCTCTGCAACCTGGCTGTTGATTCACACCCACAATTACCAACAGGTGTCATTATTTGCAAGAGCATAAAAAGGAGATGATTTTTAATGGCTTTTAAAATTCATTCCTTTATTGCTAGATTGGCTAGCAACAACTCTATCATTGTGGTTAAATGTGCCATTCTTCCACTGATCTTTCCTTTGTATTTGAAATAGTTCAATATTGATTTTAATTACATAATTTTTCTAGGTTATGTGATAACCATATACTGTGAAGCATGAGAGACAGCTGCATAATTCAAACTTAAGTTAACTATCATAATGGGATACAGATTTTAAATTTATATAATGAATCTATGCTGTAGATTTAATTGTCATTTTTCATCACTATATTCCAGCACACACAAAACAGAATTAAGAGATGTACTTGCAGGATTTGAAAGCAGACGGACAGAAGAGTTCACAGGATCACCAGAATATTTTATGATAGCTGGCTCATTACTATTTAAATACATGTAGAACACTGTATAAGATTACTTTGTTCATAATTAGTATTCATACGTTTTACTAAAATTGTCCACAATCCTGCAAAGATGTGAGTGTGTATTCACCAAGTGTAAGGTTAAGCATGGACCAGTTTTTGCAGGGCTGGAATAATAAATAAGAACTGGATATACATAGTTTTGAGAGAGGGAACACAGCAAGAAATCATGAAGGAATCATTTCAGAACTTTTGGAATAATGCTAAAAGTGACTGTTTTCAGTTAGGGGAAGAGTGCAATGCATTTATAAGTCCAGCTTTGGTCAGCATTGAATTCTGGACTCTTTCTATCCCCATAGAAGTTTAAAGGAGACAAGAGAGTCTAGATTTCAGTGCTGAATAGACCTGGTCTTATAAATACATTTCACTCTTCACATAACTGAAAACAATCATTTTTATCATTATTCCAAAAGTTCTGAATTTTTATAACTTTTCAAGCCTCACCCTTTCCCCTCCTCCAAATAAACCAGAATAATTATAAGTTTCTAATTAAGGGGCCAAATAAGGAAAAGAAATCAAAGACAAAACTATTAATGAAGAGGGATATTTAACTTTAAATATTTTTGTGACGTTGAAAAAAATATTAAAAATTTCCATTAAACAACAATTCATGGAATTCATTTATTTATAGTCAAAAAAGCCCATTTTTCTTGTCCAAAAAAAGTTTTGAAAGAAAAATGTTGATTAACTCTATCACTGATTGATATGACATATGCGAAGAGTGATGGCTCTCTATTAGTTAGTCGCACATGATTTGTTGTAAAATGTATTTAATAAATATCCCTATATTTTGAATAACTTATTCCAAATGTTGTCACCATAATTCACTCATCTTACAGACTGAAATATTCTCAAAGCTCAATTTGAGAATATTTGGAAAGAGGAGATAATTGCATATATTTTTTCCAAATACTCCCCAAAATTTTCCAGAAAAAATACTCTTCTTCTAATCCTTACACTTGGGAAAGGAAGTATAT